TAATGAGAAGCCAGAATTTTTTTACGTGCTAGAGGTCTTCAGGTAAAGCTTTCTGAAACGCAAATTTTATGTCTACGGTTAGAAAGACAAACAATTATTGACACACAGAATCTCTGTACACAAAATGTTTATTTGTTCCGTAGTCATCACCAAAAGTAATTCTTACCATACAAAAAAAAAATAATAAAGGGTAAGGTTCAACAAAGGACGCAGTTGAGCCAACAGATCAGTGCCAGCGCACAATAGGCTAATAGTACAGTGGCCCAATTTTTTAATGATATCAAGCGAGCGTCGACCACGGGACTGCCAGTGCATGCCGCCCTGCGGGACGGCCAGTGCCGCGGAAAAATGCGGCGTCACGGGAGAGATTAATTGCGTGCGCACAAAGCCCTTTCTGGTGGGAGCGTCGTCTGCTAGGCTATTCCGGTGACCGCTCACAGTTCCTGCTCCGTATCAGGGCGCTTGCAATGTCGAAGTGCATCGCCGATACGCCCCTGCTCTTGAAGTGCATTCAAAATCCTACTGACGTTAGCCCGTAATCCCGACTGTTTCTATATCCCTTTGCGTCATGCCGCCCATCGACATTCTCACAACACGTTCCCGTGTTTTTATGGGCCCTCGAGGAGGCATAAAAATCTATGCGCGTGCCCACTTGTCAAAGAAAACTGACTACCGGGCTACACAGTCTAGATGACGACAGCAACAACGCAGTTAATAATACAAAACACCAAGCCCAAGCGGAAACCCTGTCTATACTCCGTTTCACTTTGTGTTGTACCGCAGCCGACGCTACGAGTTATCTTGTCCAGTCCATCACTAAAAGTGAGTCACGTGGCCTTCCCGTTGAGTACAACTGCACGGGGAAGCACGATGTGACGTGGCGGGGTCAAAGCACTGGATTGGTTTTGATGCCTCGTATAGCATTGTCTGCGACAATGCATCGTTGCATTGTCGCGTCACCGTGTTTTTAATTTTTGTTAGCAAACATAAAATCAGCGAAAAGAAAGCAAATTAAACTCGAGATGACACGCAGTTTTTGCCACGGCCACGCCTGAGCACTATCACGAAAGCAAGCGCTGTTCGTGTTCAGATCTTTGCTTAAAGGCGGTTAGCTATGCCGGCAGATAATGAACAGGGGCTGTGTGCGGTCCACGGAATAGCCTAGCAGACGACGGTCGCAACAGAAAGAGCTTTGTGCGCGCACGCTTTATCTCTCCCGTGACGCCGCATTTTTCCGCGGTACAGCGCTGGCCGTCCCGGCGGTCCACGCTCGCTTGATACTATTAAAAAATTCGGCCACTGTACATGCACCTCCCTTTTAAAGGGAAGATGGGGCACTTCTGCATTTGAGAAAAAAAAAAACACTTGTATAGCGTTCGTTTGGCCTTTAGAATAACAGATATCACGATTATGTTTCATTGCGACGCGCCGGAGAGCCATAAGAGCAATTTCAAAATAGGGCTGAAGCCCCGCCTCTCTCGCCCGCCTTGGGCAGCCAAAAGATCCGTCGATGACGTCCCGTACAGCGACTGTGTTTCGCGTTTTCTCACGTGTAACTATACTTCCGCATCAAATGGTTTGGATATGAGGGTTCACGGGGTAAAAATACATCAGAATTCACTTCTTACTCATTTTTTTTTCAAGAACCTATATACCTTCCCTTTAATGATACAAACTCCCTTTTAGAGACAGTCAGATGAAACAACCCGGTTTCAGTGAAGATAATAAGCAAGCTGCATCTCCTATGCCTTGAGGAATGTCATAGCAGGCACGCACGGTCACACATTTAATGCAGCCAAAATCTATCAAAAATGATATCTGGCTTAATGGTTACATATCTCACGTGTGCACTAAATAAACACGAATCCAGTCCTCAGCGCGGTTACGGCGCTAACGCTTGCAGTTCTAAGCACGCAGTGCTGTCTGGATCCGAGCGAGCCCAAGGCAAAACGATAACTTGCTAACAATGTAGCGCTGCGCATCGAAACTTACTACCCAACTCCCTGAAACACCACCACCACTCCGATCTACTCTGATCCCGCCACTCTGTGGATGTCCCCCGATCTATTAAGTAAGGAAAAAAACTTATAAATTGAATGAAATATTCAATTTATATGAATAAACTGCCGTGGATCCTTCAAAGGATGCAAAATAAGCCAAGAGCACATCAGTCCTCCATTGAAAATCCGCGAGAAACCCCTCTGTCAGTTTAGCCAGTCGCCCACCGGGAGGAAAAGTTCTCGGTGCTCCACATAGATGGCGCCACAGAAAGAAAAAGCTAGGGATAAAACCGAGGGAGGACGCAATCTGCTCGCTTATTCGGCTCTTATTTCCCCACTTGCCTATCTTACACCCTGGTTGTAGGTCACCTCGTAGTAGAAGTGTACCACGAAATTGAGAAGTTTCAAGATACCAAAATATTTCTTTCGGTATTTTGAAATTATCGCAGATTGAACCTTTCCTATGCGCAGTTTGTTTATCACTTATCTAGAGCGGTGTTCCGTGTTCGGGAGACTCCTGCCATTACGAAGCTTTCCCGCAAAGGACAGGACTGCTTTCGAAAGCTGAACATAATCTAATAAATTCTGAAATAAAATACTAAAAAATCGACTAAGCCGATTTTAAAAGGCACGACTTGAGACAAATCACAACCACCAATGCACACGACTTACCACAGTATCGCAATTTACAATACCATAGCGATTTTTCTTGGAAACTTTTACCACAGGGTAGAGGCGAATGTGCAAGCACAGTCGCTCTCTCGAAGGTTGCTTCTTCCCAAGCACGCGGGTGTGCTGCGGCGAAGCGAGATTGTAATGTTTAGCGTCATGGGCGAACTTCCTCCGCACAGTTCGAAGCCCAACTGACAAGTTTTGTCAATGTTTTATGCAATGATCGAACCGGATAGTACGGTATTTGAAGCAATATTGAGCTCATTAAGATTTGAACAGGCCTACCGCAACATGAAAGGAAGGGATCAGACAAGGTCCTGAACGAGTCATTGGTATTACAATCAAGAAAGAAATAGGATTTCTCACATTTTGAAAAATTATGTTAAATCAGCCTCAGCGGGCGTCTGCTTTCTGCTGTACACGAGAAATTTAGCCAGTGAAGTACCGCCGCCAGCCTGGGATCTTCAATGGGCAACATACTGTGGTGATACGCGACCGCACGCCGGTGCTAAGCTCATCCAAATGGAAACGGGCAGGGGAGTGGATTGGACCCATGGTCCCCAGGTTCCACAGTGCAAGTTTACGGCCCACATGCTCCGAGCTGCATCACGTTTTTGGCGAAATGCAACACAGTGTACGGGGGTAACCACTTGACAACGACCTTCGTCCGGCAGTTGAGAACCAATTTAACGCAGCAAGCACATGGACAATCTTGAGGCAGAGCAGGTCGGCCGCAAAAAGTGACAAAGCCAAGGTACGAATGAACAAACTTTTAATTGCGAATCTGTACAGTAAAAGTGAAGAACGACAGTTCCGAGACTGCCGAATAATTTGCAATGTTTATATACCAGCACGAGACTTATGAAAAAGGTACCCCGAAAAAGGAACACTTTGAACAAAAGCGAGGTCAATGTAGGACGGGGACACATCTTGCGAGACTAACAATATTGAATACTCTGGGAAACTCTGATAATATATGCAACATGATGTAGCGGGTTCATGCAGCACGGTTAAATAAGACTCAAGTGCACGCTAGGGTGAGGCATGGCAGTGGAAACTGGCACCATAGGTTTAGCTTTCCATTAAAAAAATGCTACCGACAGAAAAAATACCAAGAAGCACATTTTGACACGAACGAGTTTGGAAGTAGTGATCACTTTCACTGGGATCCAAGACAAAGGAAAAAAGCGCTTGCAGAGGCTACACAACTAAACAAAGACAAACCCAATACAAGAGATGAGCTCTTACTCTAGACCTTCGAAGCATGCACTGCAATGATGGATTGCAGTGCATGCTACGAGAAATCCCAGCCAATACAGCACTGGATTTTCGCCGATGGCTCGTAGCAGCTGCTGTGGTCCACCTCAAGTTGGAAAGGATAAAAAAAAACTGCACATTCCATGTCAAACAGAGAAACTAAATGGGACTCTACGTCCAACAGTCGAAAAAGGTTTCTGTTGAAGAACTTCGACAGTTACGTTGTATTAAGAAGCTTGTAAAAAAATCTAGCGGGCAAAACATCGAGCAGTTCACACAGTGTAACCAGAAACTTTGGCAAAAAAAATTTAGGATCTAAACTCACTGCCATGATTGCGGAGTAGGTGAAATGGTATTTGTGTCGGCAGTGCAATTACCTTGGCAATTATTAACATCAACGACTGCGCACCAGTGTACACACCCGAGAACTCTGCAACTGCTAAAATCGCGAGTGAAGGGAAATGATTGACAAGATCCATATTCCCCTGACAAAGAAAATCTAGAGACTAACCCCAAAGAACACGCTAGCCTTGCCTGCGATGTTTTTGATTAACATACATCATTGAACAACCACTGCAACCACTAAACTGTCCAAACGCAATAATTTCAACTGGGCAGTTTAAAAACCAAGCATAAATATGGTGCTCCGATGTAACACACAATAAATTCAAACACAATTGTGAAAAAAAGGTAATTTTTTTTTGTTTGCGAGGTCAAACAAACAGACATTTCCGAAGACAACGATCAAAGTCAAAATATCCATAATCAAGTGCTCCAAAACACTCTGCCCGCATTCCAATAAACTGCAGGACAAAGTCGCGTCTGCCGTAGAACAGATTAACCCCCGTGTCGCCCACGTAAAAAAAAAGCAACCTGCTTTTTTGGTAAAAAGCACTTCACAGGTACAGTTGGCAAACTAAGAAATATGGTTCACAAGGTACTTATGTTGTTCTTGGTACGACCTGCGCTTATAATTGCAACACACCGGAGTCGACTTGCCCCAAAAACTGGCCAAAAATTCTTAGCGAAACCAGAGCTTCAGAAACTGCTGCCAGGGCTGCAGAATGATGTCCTCCCGAAACCTATTGCAGTGATGTTGCAGTTACACCCTTTTTCTAAAGCGATTAAGGTTTAAAAACTGAAGGTTTTATCTCCAACACAGGAAAAAAGTTTGGAAAAACCATAGCAAACACCACGCAAGGTTTGCTGCAAGTAATGTGGTTCCCCTGTCCACAAAACTAAACGAACAAGCACTACACTACGAACAAGACAGCACTTTAATGTAACATGATGTAGGTTACATGCGTCATGAAACGACAGCAACAAAAGCACGCACACAAAGGGGTTAGAATATGAAGTTAACAAGTTACAGAAATGCTTTAGACAGGTTATGTGGGGACACGTTAAGCTATTCTGTTTTTCTTTCTTTTAAGGATAAAACAACTGCAGTCACAAACAGGTGGGTCAAGAGAGAAGTACAGAGAAAGGCAAAAGGAATATAACCAATAAAATAAATGGCACTAAGGTTCCGCCACTCTAATGACTTTTTTCATTTTTTTCTTGCCTCTTTACATCACGCAGCAGCGGTTGGGCTCGTTGGGATCCTGCGAAGGCCGCAAAAAGCAAAAGTTAATGTGTGAAAAAAAAAAAAAACTTACGTAGTCTATTTTTACGACAGACTGCCATGACTGGAGTTCGTCGGAATTAATGGGATGGTGGCAGTATATAACCGGAAGCAAAGCGCCGGCAGAACATGGGCCAAAGTAACACCTACCGACAAGAAATGCATGCTCTCATGAATATTAGAGCAATCAAAAAGTTTAAAACATGTTGCTATGCACGATGTCCAACATCGCTGCACCAACACCAACACCATAGCCACTCGCAGCCCAAGAAATGCAGAATGGCTTATTCAAAGCTTTCGCAAAAGCGAAATCTTGAAGGAAAAAAAGAAGCATCTGCTTTAGGTAAGGTAGCTAACCCTCGTTTGAGGACGAGGGTCGGGTATGACAGGCCCAACAAAGTTCGTGAATTTCACGGCGTGCAACGAGCCTTTGCAACATTAATGCGTTTTCAAAACAAGGACAACAACCCTAACCGACCGATCTCTCCAAGTGTTCGGCACATGCGCGACGCCGTCAGAACTTTAGTTGGCGGGAGGCAGACGGCGGTGCAGGGGAGGGCTCGCGCCGTCTGGACGCTGCGCACGGGCAGAGTTCTGGAGAAGCTGTCGTCTGTGCTGACAAAGTTCACTCGATGCAGTGAAGTCATACTGTCCAGCCAGATCGGTCTATTACAGTAAAAGCTCGTTAATTCGAATTTCGAGGGGGCTGCTGAAATAGTCCGAACGATACAAACTTCCAATTGATGAAAGTCAACGAAGAGAAAAGAGCCCCGTCCGGCGTTGGGTAGACTAGAATGCTCTCAACCGCCAGAGGCGTGCAAGTCCGCTGCTGCGGAGACCGAAATGCCAGTTTAGACAGCACGAACCAAAATAATCAAGGCCTGCCAACAGCCTCCTTGGATTAAGTCCACGCAAATTTATCGCGCCCGGATAGCGCCCGCTCGGCAACTAGACCCCTGCAATAGCTCGCTGCGACGTCGAAATGCTGGCACACGGGCTTTGAACACTATAGGTGGTGTTGCTTTATTCCTCCGAAACTGGGTGTATCAAACATTCTAAACTTGATGAACCCCTATTGGTCCTGGCATTAAAGGTGCGCTAAACCGCTTTCTACGGTAGTCTAAATGCCAACTCAATCTACAAGCAGTAAACGTACTTAAGAATAAATTACATGCATGTGTAGCAGATTAAAAATAGTTAAAATAGGTATCAAAGGTCAATTATCTCAGAACTATCACACGCCGGAGGGCAGTCGTAAAAAAAAAAATAAGCTCCTGTCCGACGGCGGCCTCTGGTGTTGGTGATAGTTCCGGGGTAATCAACCTTTAATACCGATCTCAAAGGAATCGCCACGCATGGAAATGATGTTTGGTTTCTTAGCACGCTTAGAGCCCATAGATTGAGGTAGTGGTCATAGACTATCGCGGAACATGATTTAGTGCCCCTGGAATGTGATGAAGCAGTAAACAAGCCTACAATGTAAACAATACATGTATAAGCGAGCGTTCACCTCATTGTCACGCGTCAATTAGTTGGTTGGTTCTGCCAAAACAAGTCTTAAAATGGAGAACAACTACCAGGCGCGCTTTCACGTGCTGTACCAAGAAAGGGCATCTGTCACGTCCCTACGGATAATTGAGGATTAATTTCGATCACCGGGGGAAGCTTTCAAAATGGAACCACCCCGACCGGAATTCAAACTTGCTGGGGCACTCTGGGCAAACCCTCCTGGGTCCCCGGAACCCAGTTCAAATATATATATGCTCTTAGAAAAAGTTTCCAATTGTTTTAATTAATTTTTCTTTCCTGCATAGATTAAGAAGTCATGCCCCATTGAAGAAACCGAAGGAAAGAAGAGGTACTCACGTGCTCGTGGAAAAGGGGCTCACGCCCCGTCGAATATCCTCCTGCGCCGGACGACCTTTCCGAGAGGCGCGTGAACTGACGCCGCCGGTTTTCCCGAAAGGCCACCTGGGGGCGCAACGAAAGTGAGCGTCAACTCGTCAGCCGTAACATGCCGCAGAAACGCTAGAGTTCCGGTTACACTGCTAATTCATGATAAAAAATAGACTTTGCAATTAATGCACTGCCTCGTCACGTGGGTCATACAAACATCGTCTGCAGACACGTTCGAAGCATGCATATGTGTTAAAGGTGCTTCGAATGTGCTCGAGGCCTGCCTGCAGGTAATTTTCAAAATGTGTGCAGCGGAGTGCGTCATTCGTATCGTGCGCGAGCAACGGGACTGCGGCCGAGAGCTTCAATGCGGCCGAGAGCTTCAATGCGGCCGAGAGCTTCAACATGACAACATAAGAAATTCGAGGGTCACTTCCATAGGATTACCGGTGCAAAGAAGCCGCTTCGCAAGGTCACCGCCGCAAGATTACGACCGTGAGTACACCTACGAAAGCTCATCCCCTAAATGCAGAATCGCGTGCACAGGTGCCGACATCGAGGTTTTTTAGGACTTTAGCAGTTTTATTTGCAGCATTTCACTTTGGTGGAACATAAACTAGGTTTGTACTGCAAGTGCTGGGAAGTATTCAATACAGGGTGTCTAGCAAATTATTTTGAAATCCCTTGACTTTTTCATGTTTTCCCAGACAAATTTAGGTGAAATTCCCTGACCACTGTAGAGGCGATTAAATATATAGGACCATTACAACACAAGGTATTGAGCATTCAGCAGTGTGAGGATCATTTTGCATGGGCTTAATCCAACCTTCATCTTAAAAAATATCTGGGTTCGTCCTGTCTGGAATAAATGAGCCCTTTCTTGCCGCGGACATCGTCAGTGAAGAGCCCACTTCCAGAAACACTATGAAAACACGACGCTCAACCACACACGCCTTGTTACTAACAGAATGGCAGCACGGCCGCCAAATGGACACTTTTGGATACCTCCGGCTTGTATTATATTGGGGTCTGCGGCTTTCCCATTTGTTACTAAATCAAGTAGCTCTAACTAGATTTAGCCTAGTGTCGTGCCCTCAATATATTCCAACCCAATCCAAGGCTTCGACTGGGTTTGCCGGCTGTTCCCTTTGCATCGGGTAGCACACTCTACATCGGGTGAGCAGTGACCGTGCTCCGCTCTAAGCAGAATTTATTGCCCATTTTTCTGCACCCAAGTCTTCAAGTCTGCTCAGGGCACTCAATGGCGTTTGCGGCTCGTTTTCCCTGACTGGGCTCGATATTTTACAGCATTCCTAACAATTCCCCGAGTTGTCCTGGTAATTAAAATTTCACTGACAATTCCCAATTTTCCCAGTCGCTAGACTACGTGTGAATAGAACTTTACTGTGCAGTACCTGAAATTGTACAGGGAGATTTTTTATTTATTTTGGGAACAAATTTTTATTAAAACTAAAGTGGCACGACTCTCGATCAATAATGCTACATGCACCATACATCATAGCATGTATGATGTATGATGCAACGACACGATGGTTAGGATTTATGAATGTGTACATTGAATCCATCGGATGGACGAATGGACAGATACGGCTGAACCAAGGAATCTGGCAGCAGCTTGCGCCACCTGGTATATAAAATAGCCAAGGTTGTCGACAGAGTTCACTGTCTGCTAAATCTAGCGCCAAAGTGATTTTTTGCAGAGCGTAGCGTAGTTTGGCAGTTTCACGCTTTTGGTGCCGCTAGGCGCAGGAAATTTGAATGTATCAAAATGGCACAATTGGTGCAGCTGTCCCGCCCCTGCAAATAGAGCCCAGGGACAACTAGAAACGTTTTAAAGCACTATATGGAGATAGACAAAATCACAGTAAAATGTCAGCCCCTCAGAACAGCAACCAGACACGGCAATAGAAATGTCGGGAAGAGCTCATTGTAAAAGCCACTCCTGAACTACATGCCGACTGAAGAAAGACACAGCATGAACACGTGCAAATGGTTATTCTGGGTGTCGAATCAAAGATAAATCAAGCAGTGTTCACCAAAAAGGACACAATACCACAATTCAAAGGGAAAAACAAAGCTTGTACCCTCTAAATTCACACATCGATGACATCTTACATGCAAGTGTCTTATGAAAAACTATTTTCCCTTCTGCTACCGTGAAACCCTTTATTTTCGCGGCCCCAATTTTTCGACAATTGGACTGCGGGGTCATATTCGCGACCATTAAATTTCGCGATTTCTTAAGGCTGGAATTTACCTATAGAAACCACTAAACTAAAACCACTAAAACCAATTTTACAATTCGCGTATTTCGCAAAAATTAGGGGCTCTCAAACATTAATGGTTTAACAGTATATGAATAACAAGGCTAAAAGCTGCTTAACAGGTTTTCACACAAAATCAACGTGCGGGCAATACATAGGCTCTTCTAAAGAAAGCTCTAGATGATTTAGTTTTAACTTTACTGGCACGTTTTCGAACAGATGGAGGAGGCCTATTAAAGGTGGTAACTGAACGAGCAACTTTACAAGTAAATTACACGTATAGTGCAGCCCAGCTACAATGGCAAAACACTAAACCGAAGGCGCTCACCTCCTCCCCATCAGCGCTGAGCAAGGCAGTGCGCATCTGTTCAACGTGGGGCCACTGCTGGTTGCGCATGACCAGGTCCGACGGAGGGCTGTGTGCTGCACCGGCGTCGGAGCTCCATACCTGCACAGCATCCCAGCTTCGGATGAGTCGTGGTCATCTCACCGCAAAGGAGGTATACTAAAGCAAGAATGTGGGCAAGCTGGTTGAAAGAGAAGCCAAAAACAGTTCTTTAAGAGAAAAAAAAAACAAAAAACTGAATGTTTTAATGTAGGCATTTTAAAGATTATGTCTAAGTTTTCTTTCGATCTTATTACTAGGAGTATCAAAATCTCTAATTAAAATTTCGACGTAGCCCTGCCCGTCGTTGCATGCGGAGAGCAGGAGAGCGTGAAGGCGGATAGAAAAAAATTCAGGAATTCCGCGTTGATCCACAGTAGAGTCGCAGCGACAGCCACGACACGACATGGCGAAGTTGTCGGGCACTGGCGTCGCGTTCAAACACCGTGGGGTGCGTGAACAAAAGCGTACAAAACGAAATAGGCATCCGATTATTTTGTTTTGAAAAACGCTCGTATCATTTTTGTTCCGGATAGCGTAAAAGCGCTTTCCCCTGCACGAGCTCTTGGCATTGACAGTGCTACAACCGCCTTCTGTTATCGGCTATTTTTTTTTTCTTTTCCAGAGAGCGCGTGCGGTGGGTGCTACAAAAGCTTCCGGTATAAAGCGGATTGTTGATGCTGTGGCATCAACAACTTCGCACGAAGCGAACCCGGGTTTGATGCCCGTGGGCGGCGAGCAATCTTTTTGAAGATTTTGCAACACTGGTAACGGACGTCCTACATTGCCAACAACAACGGACGTTATGTCAAGTGGTGGCAAGAGCCCAGAACAGTTATCGCTGCGAGACTAACCAAAGGGACGTCGTCGGTCAAATGACTCTGCTCGGCACTGTGCAGGAGGACGACTATAACGTCGCAATGTCTTCGACGGATAACAGCTGGCGGCAAGGCTCGCCGCATGCCCTACGGCAATCGCTGCGCACACATCTCAAAATATATGGGGTTTACGTTTACTTCAGTCCAAAAGCGCGATGATTGAATTCATCGGACAAAAAGCTATAGTAGAAGACCGCTCCAAACATTTTTTTTTTTAAGGCGCTTCAGCTTTTTTGAGAAGGGCATAATAAATCCTGGTGCGAGGGAAAGGACGGACAAAGAACAAACTAAACTCCCAAGTTTTTTTGTTTGTCCTTCGTCCGGTGTTCGGTCTTCCTTGGCCAGTCTTCCCCTCGCTCGGATTTACGGTATCTGCCTAGTCTGTTTACGAGGACGAAAACAAAATGTTATGGTAGGGTTTCTATTGAGACTTCAATTTCCACTACCAGCACTATGGGCTTATGATATAAGGCAAAGTAGCGATTTGCTATAGGAATAGCTACACATACCAAACAGATTTTACTTTCCTCAACCCAGGCCAATGTAAAGCAGGCACACGCATAAAGCATTGGTCAAGCTCAAAGCCAATAGCGGTTTTGGCAGAATAATTTCTAACCGATTATCGTATAGTTTCTTCGAGCCTTTTACTAGTGATGGAGCGAATCTGCTCAACTTCAGATTCGGCAAAGTTCGGCAAAGATTCGGCAAAACTTCGGAAAATGTCTGCGCACGCGCGAGAATGCGACCGAGCCTTGAATTGCAAATGGACGCTGTGCAGTCGTGCGGTTACCATCGTGCAGTGTAGTACAACCAGCGGTTACGCCGCGGTGTGGGGTAGGCAACAAGGTAACTGTGCGTTTGTGACCGAGTGTGGTCCTCTTCAATATTTTCTGCCTCAAGAATAGAAGATCGACCAGTAATTTACGCAGTCCACTGCGCAAGTGACGAATGATGCCATGCATTCTGAAACATAGACATTGTCCGACAATTACTTTAAACACTCCTCGCAATTATAACAATTCTTTTTTCGGCTAAGGATTAGTGTGTTGCAAAACAAAACATTGCTTCTTCAATTAGTGTTATTTTGCAATTTTCAGGTATCCGCATAAAACTAAACACAGAACTATAGTGCTCGACGTTGCACATCTGACATTCACTCTCCCTATCTTCCGAAACGTTCGTGTATTCCTAAACACCAGAAACACGTATTTTAAAGGTTAAAAACGAGACGTTGTGAATATGGGACGCACACTTTCATGCAAAGCTGACTTCAAGTGACTCAGCAACCGTTGCATTCGTTTTCCCGCACAAAACGGTGGCTCCCAGAGAAAGCAAGAACGCAGCGTTATTGCCTTCATTTTAGCAATGTACACACACATGCCGGCTTGCGCTGATGATACCTTAAAACCGAAACTCGTAGCGTGATTCGTGACTGCGCCACGCTCGCTTCTACCCAACGTCCCTGTCACGCCACTCCTCCAATGAGTCACTAAAATTGCCAGTAAACACACAAATACAACATATAATGCATATAAGCCCAGTTATTACTAAATAAGATGATATTCTACAAGATAATTGTATCGGTGTCGTTTTTAAGCTAAGAAAGAAAACTTTTTTGCCAAGAAAAACTAAATATCAACGCTAAGCCTAGTAACAATGTATCGAACCGGAAGTTCGGCACCGAACTTTCGATTCTTCAAAAGTTTGGCCCATCACTACCTTTTACTACCGTTTTACCATGCTTAAACGAAAATTCAGCTGAACTCGTGAAGGTTATTAAAATTAATCCCAAAGAGACGCCCAGCCATCCTCAGCGAGCGAATTTATAAATCAGCTTGATGGACACAAATATTCTTCGTTTATTCTCAATCTTCCACAAAAAAAAAATAATAAATAAATAAATAAACACGATTATTGAAAGCAGATTGTCAGGACTAATGCCTGCGCTTCCCAGCGAACATCCGCGTACAGCGGAAAACCAATGCCCGCGAGATTCGCGGGTACTGCTTTTCCGCAGCACCCGGGTGCTTGGCAAGGAGTGCTCACAACGGGGCCAGGCCCACTCCCGATGAACGAATAGCACGAATTAAGCGAAAACTCCACTTGAATTAAGAAGCTTAAAAATGCATCGAAAACATGGCGGGTAAAGCAAAATATTTAAAGGTGTCCGAAATAAAAGTGAGTACGAAAATTTTTAGCTTGAATTATCGCGAGACCACTGTATGCACCGTTTCACTGCGAGTCCTACCACAGCCGACGCGACGATTCGACGAAGACAATCGAGCAGAGCCAAAAACGCGCCGTTACACCACTCGTCTTCGTGGATACGCCATCACCAACTTAACCAATCGCAAACATAAAAAAAAGGTGGGACCTCGTCGCATCCACTGCACGCGATTCGTGTAGCCGACGATGGCAGATGCGCAAAGGCAACAAGTGCAGGGACGACGCGCTTCGGGCGCTGCTCAACCGCTCACTGTAGGACGGTAGCGCAGCCTGTGGTCGGACTTAAAGAGAAACGGAGTACATCTTCGAAAAATGTCGCCCATAAAAAATCAAGCCAGGGGGTATTTACGCCAGTCCCTGTATGAAAGGCTAAGTCTGAACTGACGAAAGCCTCGTTCTACTTTTATGAAACAAATGGAACCAGTGCCTTCGACGAAGAAAAACAATTCAAGAACTGCAACGCACCGTGATGGTGGTTCCCGGTTGGATGATGTGGTTCCGGTGGAACCGGAAGGTGAAGTCATCGTTGCCGGACCTGCGGTCGATCCGCCAGCCAGCCAATGGAATCTCCTGAAAAAAAATTATATATATATCGAAGGCGCCCTTCCAAGGATCAGCTAACGCGCGGTTGGACCGTCGCTTACGGGGAGTGGAGCCTGTTCCTTGGAGTCTCGAGCCCGAAAAGGAGAGCATCCCAAATATGTCTCGCAAACCGAGTGGCCAGCTGAGCTGGCAATCTTGTACCGCAATTCGAAAAGCAAAGTCGAGCACCAAATTGTTCTCCGGAAACTTGCACAGGTTTTTATTTCACTTAGAGATGTTAAAATGCTGTGGAATGTACCCCGTCTTCGAAGTTAACCGAGAGTGAAGCGTCTGTTTTATTTCCACCACCCATACCAGGCTGCTCCAATTTGTCGAGATTCGAGAAAAAACTTTGCCTTGGTGAAGCTAACTGCGAATGTGTTCAATCGTTGCAGACGTCTGCGAGCAACGCAAACGAAAATAGAAATGCAATTTCAAACACTGAAAGTAAGCGACAACACAATCTACAGATAACAATGCCCCTGCTTCTTAGGACAGGGGGAGGGAAACAGTAGCATAGAGTATGAAAGTACTGCAGCTTGTGCAGCGAAACTTCGAGCCGCAGAGCTCAAGGATCACGTGCTCAATCCACTCTTGTCCGTTCTAATGTGAATGAGCATCATACCGGCGTGCAGCCTTGTGTCACTACTGCGTGATGCACGTTAAAAAAACCCAGGCTGGTGGCCGTACTGCACTGGCTAAATTTCCTGTCTACGGACCGACTACTTCCCACTGTATAGACATACGAACACGACAATTACTTTAGCTTGGGAAAGAATGCAGAAGAAATCAACTATGTGTTAAACTTTGTTTTACCTGAAGTCCTAATGTAGCTATGCCACGAGCCAATAGGGTCAATCAAGCGGCTTCAGGTACATAGCGCGACGACATTCGAGCGCCTATTTTATTGTCGAAATGTCAACCACGTTTGTGCCAGACCAGAGACACCAATTTTTTGCTCTTAAAGCACAAACATATTATTGAAGAAAAATTAAACCGAATGTCGTCACGTCACTTTGAAATTAAAAGCAGCGCCGCTCCGCGAAAGTACTGAGGCAAGCTACAAGCGCACAAATCCTGTCAAACTTTGCTGAACCGGATTTTCCTTTACTCTCGCACCTATGCAACTCCTGCGGGGGCAACTAAAAGGATCAGGTTTGTAACGAGCCTCTCTGCGTTAGTGATGTCGCGTTTTTCTTGACGGCGTGTTTCGGCACTTGTGGTGGCAACGGATCAAAACCTGACAGTTTCAGTTGCCCCGCTCTCCACAGGCGTTGAATAGGCACGGGAGAACAAGGAAGCCCGGATCGGTCCAGTTTGACAGGGCTCGCGTCATGGTGCGAGCCCCGTCGTTTTGGCCCTATGTTTTGGCGTCTTTTCGAGCAAACAATTGGCGCCTCCGCGGTGTCACCAAGACGTGGTTGATGTTTAGACAATCAAACTGGCGCTAGAATTCCGTTGCAGTATTGCATCAAATGTGCTGTGACCTCACACTTCCGAGTATATCCGCTTGAGTTTGTTTCAGCCTTTGGTTGTGTTCCGACTTCCAACAATACAATGTTAGGCTTTGTGCAATTCAAACATGATTTCCCTTTCATGTCACAGGCTTCCAAGCATTGGCCTTACAGCTCCTAGATAACAAGGCTGCAGTTATAAATTCTAAACGCCGCCTAAAGAGGCAACACGGGGCATTGATTGATCAAGTGCAACATCAGCGTCTGACGAAGACTTGTCTTTAATCGACGAGAACTTGAGCGTCGGCTAAACGCCGTCGCAGCACTTGGGTCCACCCTATGCCCCCGCGTTTGCCGCGTCAGAAGACGTCGAAAATTCGGCACCACGGCCTTATTTATGAGACATCTAGGGGGCTTTAGATGGCAAAAGAGGGCGACGTTTACCAACCTTCGTGCCCTTGTTCTTTATGATGACGTATTTTCCGTCTGGGCAGTGGTCCGTGATCTCCAGGTCCCCCTTGGCGGATGCGGAGACCTGGACGTCGAAGTTTGACTGGTCCTCTCGGTGGGAGAAGGTCCGCTTGCGCTTGGCGCCTCGGAGCAGCGGACTGGTGTACATCTCAGACCCGCTGGTAGATGCGCCTGAGAGGGACGAAATATCGTTCGCATCTCGCACGGTGTATCGCGTGTGTGCGGCACGGTTAACGCGTCGCTCGCCTCCATTGCCCGCCCTTGACTGCGCTACACGACGAGAGAGTCTGACAAAATCCGTCCCTTCGCACGAAAGGGGAGGGGCTTAAAAGCGAGGAGTCTCATTGCGCACAAGAAAGGAGGCGCAAAACAAATTAAAGGCAGCGTCCTCTGTATGGAGTTTGGTTTTGCGCCGCTCATGCGCGCTGAGCAATGTCGTCGGAACGACCACGACAATGCTGCTTTTTCGCAGTTTACTTTTTACAGACGCTAGTGGTCTTTGCGTTTTACAGTTCACGTTGCTTTCCCAAATATGTGCCTCCTACACTAACAGTTTTGACGACAGCACTTTTGATTCTAAGAAAAAAAAAGAAGGAAAACCGGCGATCGCACGTGTGCGCCTACAATCTCGTGCCGGGATCCTCCGTGAAAAGAGCAGACAACGTAATGTGCAAGCCTTGTCTTCTGGGTGGTGGTGGTGCGGTGCTTGGAAAGAGTCTCCGCAAAGGCGGTTCAAAAGTGGGAAAAAAAATATGGCGATAGGTTAGGCGAGATTCTTTCGCTGCGACGAGTCGGCGTTGCTCCCAAAGGCTCGCCAACATAATTTTTACGCATTGCGTAAAGAGAACCACGACGGGCGAGGTTTCCCTGCTGATTTTGAAGAAGTTCTTTGTGTGTAACAAAGCGTCACCAGCAACGTGGCCTTATCGAGACCACCACATTCCAAAGTGGCCGAAATGCATGGAACCCTTTCCAGTAGATCATTTTTAAGAATTAATATAATTTTCCACGGGGAAACGTCGCATGCATTTGGGCCGGTTTGGAATGGCTGTTCCCCAAGGGCCCAGATTACTGGCAACGCTTTCAGACAAAGAAGCAAGAAAGCGTCAGTTGCAAGGTCTGCACCTACTTCAGGTTTGTTTCGTACTTGCACAAAGGAAAACACAGATCTATGACATTGTATACAACAAAAAGTTTACAAGCGCCCTAACGATTGTACTAGCAAAAGCCCGGCCAACCTATTGTCTGCTCTCATTTTCCCCCTTCTGTAGCTTTTTTTCTCATTTCATTCGGGATCACTTACTGCAGCCCTTACGCAATTCGCCGCGTTCTGCTCCCATCGCGAACCCCCACCCCGAGATCCTCACATCAACTCTACGCACTCACTGGGCGTAATGTGCAGCCGGGACTCTTCGCCCTCCAGGAGCTCGCGGTACGCGGCAATCTCGAGGTCCAGAGCCGCCTTGATGTCCAGCAGGTCCTGGTACTTCCGCAGCTGGTCCTCGATCTCCGCCCACAACCGGGAGATCTCTTCCTCCCTGGCCATCAGGGCCCGGCCGTGCCACTCCCGCTCCTGGTCCAGCAGACGCTCCAGGTCTCGCACACGGGCCGTCAGGGACAGGTTCTGCGGCGGGAAGACTCAAGTCACGGTCTCTTCCCAATCTTCCTACCAGGAGTCGTCCTGCGATTCCCGCCCTGGCCTGGGGAGCTTCTCGGTCACAACAGCGTGCAAAGTCCACGACATCATGAAATGGTCATTCTCTCTCTCCACCTTAACGTGATGGTCAAGCTGATCCACCTCTCCTCCACACGCTCGAAATGGCGAGAACAAACGAGTGGAAACAAGGTGACTACCAACTAAATCGCATCTCGCACCGTCAATGTTGCACTAAAAAAAATTATTTCCGCAAAAAACTTTTTTCACAGGCATGTTATAATTTTACTTAAAGGAGCTCTGCAACAGTTTCAGTGCTTTGCTTAAATAATTTGGGAGTTAATGTCTCGACCTGTCTGAAGTAAAGAAAAACCGATTTTGCCTGCATGTCCTAGTTTTTATTTTAAAAATGGACAAAGATGGAGGTTTTCGGCACCTCCCAACTCCTTCACCATCTTCCTAGTCGCGTGCGCTGTGACGTCAATGGGGTTTGCGCGGGGTTCCGGTTAAGCTTCCTCTTTAGAGCCATCAGTGGACAGCGATAACTCATCCGCTCGCGACCGCGTGACCACGTGCTGGCGGGCGCAGCCAGCGCAACGCGAACAATATGGTGAAAGGAGGAATGTTTCATCCGGGTCCGGCCATCCCCGTCCGGTTCTGTCCCCCTCCGGCTTCTGGCGGCTGTTCGCGGTAGCAGATGGAGCTGACGGTTTTGTGGACCTAGGATAGATGGCGCCACTAAAACTCCGTATAATAAAAGATTTGTCGATGATACCAGGTTTTTGACACATTTATATTGATGTTGAAACAAGATTTATAAAAAAAGTTACTTTTTATCGAGCAGGTATTCGCACAACTTGCCATCTTTCTAAAAGACACCCCATTGACGTCATGCCACGTGTTTCTCATGGCCGCCGCTCGCGGCTGCAGGTCGGGGGATATTTTAATTTTTACCTCGCGATTAAGCGGCGGAATCGCAACATTTCGAAGGAAGGAGGTGTGTTTTCTGTTCTTTGTGACAAGATGAACAATGTGAAAAGCAAAAGATGCCAATTCTTTCAACGTTAAAATCGTTGCACAACTCCTTAGACAAAAAACAAAAAACTTTATTTTCAGTTGCCCTTTAAGGTAATAAAAGAAAATTAAATTTTAACAAAGCATTTCGGCCAGTTGTACACGAGTTCAACTTAAACCAATGAGGTTGGTACTACAAGTGTTGGAAAGAATTGCATTAAACTTTAGGGCGAAATATATCTCAAATCGCACATAGAAAGATATTTATTTTAGAAAAAAATTTGATTAAAACCGAAGGGGCACGACTCGGCAACAAATTTTAGATGCTACATTGTATACGTAAAATATAAATGTACATGCACAATGTATGACGCAGCAGTACGATGGCTAGGATGTATGATACATCGAATCCATCGGACGGATGAATTGACAGATATGGCTGAACCAAGGAATCGGGTGGCGGCTTGCAGCACCTGGCAACGAAATAGCCAAGGTTGTCGACTAAGGTTTCGCCATCCGCTAAACGTAGCGTCGCCGTAATCTTCGGAGCAGCGCGGCACAATTACTGCCGATTTCAGGCTTTTGGCACCGCCAGGCGCAGGAAAAAATGGCGCGGCTGTGCCGCCCCTGGCAAGCTTCCGTGAACTGAAAAACTGGAAAGCGACCTGCTGCACAACAGGAGTCTGCCACATCCACTGCTGCGACACCGCCACGACCATGGAGGGCGACGATGCTACACTTCTACGACGTCATTGCGTGTAAATAGAGGTCATTTGTTAGGACGTTGTAAAAACACCGGTTGGAGACTTGGTCCAGGCACCGCACCTGAACTATCTTTGAGTACCGAAAATGTTGGGCATCGCTCAACTCTAGACTTAGTAAAAAGCGCAAACGACTGAGAAGAAAGGGACAGGACGGTGGGCTTACTGACACTGTCAATTTAATAGAGCATGTAGAGTAAAACAAGGTGGAAGTGAAAAAGGAGAAGAGAAAGATAGAAATAAACACTCAGCTGCCACTAAGAGAAAATATTTAGTTGTAATGACATGGATGCCGAGAGCACCATATCCCATGTCGGCACCCAGAGGAGAAGAAGAAAATGCGCGCTACAGTCCATGCCAGGCGTCATGAGCAGTTTATTCACTGTGCGGCTAGAAAGTCTATCTTCAAGGCAACAGTGAATCAACTGCTCATTACGCCTGGCATGGACTGTAGCGCGCCGACATGGGATATGTTACTCTCAGTATTCATGCCATTACAACTTTTTCTTAAAGTATATTCTTAAAAAAATGTTTATTTCGATTTTTAAAGCTAGATATTTAGTCTTAATAGCAGCTCAGAGTTTATTTCGAACTTTCTATTGTTTTTCACTTCCACCTTGTCTTTCTCAACACGCTCTATAATATCGACAGTTGTAAGTGACCACTCTGTCCTGTCCCCTTCTCTTAGTCATTTGCGCTTGTTAACTCAAAGTCTAGATGTTCAGCCAACTACCCCCCCCCCCCCCCCCAATTGACCGGCTAGGGAACCTAACCCGTCAACCCGGAGTTGTCCCCAAACTGTTCAGGACGAGTGCAGCTCATCTGCTTAACCCGCTGATAACGCTTTCCGCATCTCCACATCGTTGAGTGCAGTACACCTTAGAGCTACAACTATGCAGAGTTTCCAACACAGAATTTGTTTCTCTGTTAGAAACTCTACATGGCTCTAACTCCCAGGTGTAGCGCGCTCAATAAACTCGACGAAAACAATTCTTGAGAAACTGTTGCGGAGGAGTGGCACGCAAATTTCCCCGGTAAATTTATGTGAAGAAATTTTCGACACGCAACATAGATTTCTCCTCCAAATTCAGCAGAGAAACTGAGGTCGCACGATTGTCGTGATTTGACCCGACGTCCATCTTCCCGCCAAACATAGTGTGGAAAGTGATGCCGTGTCGTGCCAATTACCTAACTCAATTTAAAGAAGAATTCAATGCAAATCGATTTCGATTTCTTTGTGCTGGAAGTTTGCGCTGGATGCAATCTGTGACCCCAGGTCTGTTTGTACAATAGAGCCTGCGAAATCTATTCTTAACATCCTAACCCCAACGAATTCTGCACAAAAAGGAAGACGTCCCTGACCTGCCACTCGAGCCCCGAGATCTTGGAGTTGAGTCCCTCGAGGCGCGACATGTACGCCCGCATCTCCTCCATCTTGCTGGAGCTGTCGCTGGAGCTCTGATCGAGAAGTCTCTGAAGGTCACGCATCTTGTTCTCGTAGATGTCCTGCGTTTTCTGCCGGTCCAGCTGCATCTGCGACTCGTACTGTTCTCGCAGCGTCATCAGCGTGTCCGCCAGGCGCAGCTCGTAGCCCTCCTTCAGCCACCCGTCGATCTCCGTGATCTCCGTCTGCTTGGCCACGCGCACCTCCTGGAGCTCCTGCATTGGGCAATGGCACCCACGCCAGGGCAAGGGAAGGTTTAGGGGGGGGGGGGGGGGCATGGATGTCGTTCCCTTGATGTCCTCTGGCATTTTCGTCGTAGTGCCATATTTGCCTGTAAATTCGTTAAACACGCCAAAAAGATCGCTGAAAAAGTAACCCAAATATTGTGCCAAAATAAAAAAAAAATTCCGCTATTGAACTTACAATTGTGATCCTCACCTTGTCTTTCAAAGCGAGTCTACTGGCCACAATAAAGAGGTGACCTCAGGGGAAGGCAGGGGTTTGCTCTTTGGGCTGTAGACTAATCCCAACAGATTAATACTTCAGCTTGGGCGAGTTGGTTAAACATGCTAATACTTCGCAGCGCACAACAGACAACACACCATCAAAACAGATACACACAAAGAAACAACACTCACGCAGCGCTGACTGTCAACTCTCGGATATATTAATCTTCGTTCTTATCTTTCACCCTTACGCACTAAAAAAGAACTAAATGTTAACCAAGGAAGAACAGCGAAAGAAAAAGAAAAATAAAAAATAAAAATAAAAATAAAAGGTTAATATAGGAAAGAAAGATGGAAAGAAATGGAAGAAAATCAGATCTAGTCCTACTACAGTAAAATTACTGAGGAGGTTTTCCTAAATAATATAACTCTTTTCTTGATAAGCTAATCGACGGGGTACTAACGCTTGGTTGGTTGGTTGGTTGATTTGGTGTTTATGGCGCAAAAGCTACTAAGGCCATAGAGCGCCAAAAACGGGACTATTGCTGGAAAAGGTTTGGAGAGAAAAAAGAGGCTTTAGTAGCCAGTGATCAGATAAAAGATGGTAATGGGGTACCAAAAGGTAAAAGGGTGATGGGCATGATTTGTAAATTAAGAAAGCTACAATCGGTGTAGAAGGCCGATACTATCTAAAAATTTGAAAACATTAGTATGTGTCACAAGTGAATCATCACTTAAGAGCAGAGCTGGGTGTAGTGGGACTTGTTCTTCATACAGTTGCGAAAAATACAAAAGCCGTTCTTCATGATAAGCAGGACATTCAACTAGAATATGAAGAATGCTTAAGGCATTGTCACACTGCTCACAAGTGGGGGCATCTTCCCCACGAAGGAGGTAGCCATGAGTCAGATGAGTGTGACCAATCCTGAGCCGGCAAAGTACAACCTCAAAAAAGCGTTCCTGGTGGCGTGCACTCTGCCATTCGCTCAAAAGAGGTTTGATCATGTGCAACTTGTTGCTGATTTCTTGGTCCCATTCAGCCTGCCATTTGCACTTAATGTGACGCCTGAGAAGGCCTTTGTAGTCTGCATAAGGAATGTTCTGGAGGTCAACGGTTCGCATTACGCAAGTACTTGCTGCACGATCTGCGGCCTCATTTCCTGGAATGCCCACATGGCTGGGAATCCAGCAAAAAATAATTTCGTATCCTTGTCTTGAGGCAGCAACAACCTTATTTCGCAGTTCAAGGAGCAAGAAGTGCTTGAGGGGTGTTAATGAAGACAGTGCATGCAATGCACTGAGGGAGTCAGTGTATACGATGGAGCGAGAGAGTTTTTTATCAAGTATGAAGCCTATAGTAAGAAGCAGACCATAGAGCTCTGCAGTAAAAATAGAAGCAGAGGAGTTGATTCGCCTAACAAGTTGAACTGTTGGGCCAATCATGGAACACCCAGCAGCAGATTCCGTCTTTGTACCATCTGTGTAGAAGCTTCCATATTCGGAATACTGACTTTGCAGTGCTAAGAATTCCTGAAGAAACACACCATTAGGAGTGTCAGCTTTCTTGTATCGCGTGAGTGAAAGGTCACACTTAATGACAGGGTGCTCCCAAGGTGCTCCCGCAACAGCAGACTGCACTACTGGGGGCCTCCAATCGAGTCCCATGTTCTCACTGGCCCTTTTCAATCTCAAAGAGAAGGGAGGCACAATTGTGGCTTTGTTTTGAAACACCCTTTCAGAGCGCATGTCTTCCACGGCCATTCGCGCAGGGTGATCAGAGATGGACCTGACTCTCAGGAAATACATAAAGCCCAGTGAAAATCTTCTCTTCTCAAGAGACAGCTCGTTGGCCTCTGCATACAGACTTGGCACAGGAGACGTGCGAAAGGCACCCGTCGCTAATCGCAACCCAAGATGATGAATAGGGTCGAGCATTTTTAGAATGGAAGGCCTAGCTGAACCGTAAACAATACTGCCATAGTCCAGTCGTGATCGCACTATCGAGCGATATATCCTCAAAAGGCACGTCCGGTCAGAACCCCAAGATCGGTGGGACAGGACTTTAAGAATATTAAGTGATTTGTGAGCTTTTAATCTTAGATTCTTAATATGGGCACCAAAGGTTAGTTTGCTGTCAAATGTAAGACCCAGAAACTTGTGCTCAGGCTTCACAGAAACTGTGGAATTGTTTAGTGTAAGAACAGGTTCTGGAAGTAGTCCGCGTTTCCGAGAAAAGCACACACAAACTGTTTTATCTGAGGAAAACTTAAACCCATTTTGATTGGCCCAGGTTGATAGCTTATTGATAGTTAGCTGAATTCGTCGCTCACACAGTGACAGATTGCAAGACGACACAGAGATCTGAAGGTCGTCTACGTAGAGTGAATATTGCACCGATGGGGGGATAGCCAATGCAAGGGAGTTAATTTTGACAATAAACAAAGTGACACTAAGAACGCCTCCCTGAGGAACGCCATTTTCCTGGACAAACACTTTAGATAAAGCTGTTCCTATCTGAACACGAAAGGTGCGCCTGCTGAGGTAGCTCTCAATGGTACGAAGCATTCGACCACGGATACCCATATCATACAAGTCCCTCAGTGTACCAAAACGCCAGGCTGTATCGTAGGCTTTTTCGAGGTCAAAAAATACAGATAGGCAATGTTGTCTATGAACGAAGGCCTCACGCACGACTGTCTCCAGCCTTACTAAATGGTCAAGAGTGGACCGAGACGAACGATAGCCGCACTGGTTCACATCTAGATGTCTATTTAATTCAAGGAAATACATCAATCTTCTATTAATTATTCGTTCAAGAGTCTTTCCAAAACAGCTAGTCAAAGCGATAGGCCTATAACTAGCCGCACAGGATGGATCCTTACCGGGCTTGAGTATGGGTATGACTGTTGCCATTCTCCAGTCCAATGGAAAGTAGCCCTCAAACCAAATACGATTAAAAAGGTATAAAACAATATCAAGTGTGGAAGGATGGAGATGTTGAAGCATATAATAATGAATACCATCTGGACCAGGAGCCGATGACTTAGAGTTTTGGAGCACTATGTTCAGTTCGTGTAAAGTAAAGGGGGCATTATAAGCTTCGCGTTCACCACCGGATGTTTTCAGTACCATACTTTCAGCTTTCCTTTTATGTTGCAGAAAAGCAGGCGAGTAATGCTGCGAGCTGGAAATGAATTCAAAATGCTCGCCAAGGATGTTGCCCTGCTCTTCAAGATTGCTTGGGCATTTCCCATTTCTGGAAAGAAGTGGAATAGTGAAAGCATGATATGAGCCATTTACTTTATGAATCCTGTCCCATACTTCCTTGGAAGAAGTACTACTATTGATAGAGGACGCATATTTTTGCCAGCTCTCGCGTTTCGCTTTCCGACGAATGTACCTAGCACGAGCTTTCATTTTTCGGAAAGATATCAGGTTATCCCGAGTTGGATAACGTCTTAGAACACTCCAAGCTTTGTTTTGCTGTTTGCGACTCTCTTTACAGTCTTCATTCCACCATGGCTTCGGTCGTCTAGGGAGCTGTCCAGATGACCGAGGGATTGAGAGTGACGCTGCAGTGAGGATATGGGATGTTAAAAGATGGCTCAGCTCATCAATCGAAAGCTGATCGAGGCGAGAACAGGCAAGGAGTGACGACTGCTTAAAAAGGCTCCAGTCTGCTTTTTCAAACTTCCAGCGTGGATGGCGCGTAGGTGAGGACTGCGGAGTGTCGTTACATTTTAAAATAATGGGGAAGTGGTCACTTCCATGGGGATTCTGATCAACAGTCCATGAAAAATCGGGTAGCAGATTTGCACTGCCAATAGAAAGATCGATGCATGTAGATGACAAGGATGAAGGACTAAAATATGTAGGATGGCCAGTATTAAAAATGCATAATGACTGTGAAAATAATATAGATTCGATTATCTTTCCACGTGTATCTGTATGATCACTTCCCCAGAGGGTACTATGTGCGTTAAAATCACCGAGTAAAAGAAAGGGCTCTGGAAGCTGGCTTAAAAGAGAGTCGAGATCTTGTCGCTTCAGAGAAAGAGAAGGTGGAAAATACACTGAACATACAGTTATGGCTTTATGCAACAAGAGACGAACAGCGATAGCTTCGAGTGGCGTTTGAAGCGGAACCTCTGCACAAGGAATATGTTTTGGAAGCACCACCGCAACGCCGCCACAAGAAATGGACGTGCTAGGGCGGTCTTTACGAAACACACTGTAGCGTCTCAGAAAGTTAGTATGAGATGTATTCAAGTGTGTTTCCTGCAAGCATAAGGCAGATGCCTTATACTCTTCTAAAAGGAACTCAACATCTGTAAGGTTAGCGAATAAGCCTCGGCAGTTCCACTGAAGAATTACAGAGCCCATTTTAAAGGATAAAAGATTTCATAACTGAATTAAAGCAATCCTACATGTGCTACACACTAAGGAGGAACCACCGGCTTTTTTCCTTTTTGTTTTGATTGAGCGGTTTGCCATTCCATGTCCTCCTGATCCGAGGAAGGAGCTGAAGAGTCGGCAATGTCAACAGCTCCCTCTGCATCCTGAACCTTGGACGCAGGTTTGCCAGTTCCGACGTGGTCGGAGACCTGGACCACGAGTTTCCGGCCACGGCCAGACCCCGCCGAAGAAGTCTTCGACGTACCAGGCCGAGACCCTCCCACATTCACACTTTCGTCTTTTGACGTTGATGGAGCAGCAGGTGGGCCCTGTTGCTCCGAAACAAGGCGGGCCGCCTCCGAGGGATTTGAACGACGGCCTCGCTCTCCACCTTGAGAAGAGCTACTGGCACGAGGCTGCCGGTCAGCCGGAGGTCGTGCCTGAATCGACTGGGGAGTCTGTGTGCTCCCAGCGTTACCTGGGGCACCCTGCTTCCCCGCAGGTTGTTTCGGGGCCTGAGAGGGGCCTGCCAAGTCCTCAAGAGAGAACTGAGTAGCCCTGGACTCCGTACGTAGTGCAGGGCCCCTGCGCACTGCGTCGGAGTAGGTACCTTTAGAAATGAAGGAAAACCTTTGTTTTGCTTCAGGGTACGATAGGTTCTCTTTGGCTCGTAAGGTAAGGATCTCCTTTTCTTGTCGCCACAGCGGGCAGGACCGAGAGTAAGCAGGGTGAGAACCCTTGCAGTTCGCGCAGGCAACTGGATCTTCACAGACGTCGGCCACATGGTCGTGGCTCCCACACTTTGCACATGTCTCCCTCCCCCGACAGCTGCGCGACCCGTGACCAAAACGCTGGCAACGGAAGCATCGCTGTGGGTTCGGGACGTACGGTCTGACACGACAGTTCAAGTAGCCAGCTTTGACGAGTGCAGGAAGCGTGTGACGTTCGAACGTCAGGATAAGGTGTTTCGTTCTCACCTCTGCACCGTCACGCCTCGTCATAATGCGTTTGACCGCCACTACTCTAGATGCCCGCAGGCCTTCCAAGATCTCATCTTCACTACTGGAAAGAAGATCATCTTCTGAAATCACCCCTCGAATGGTGTTGAGGGTTCTATGTGTGCTCACTGTTACCTGTATGTCACCTAGGGATGTCAATTTCAGAAGCGTAATGCTCTGGGACTTTTTGGCAACTTCTACAAGAAGATCACCAGAATGCAGTTTCTTTGCCTTGTAATCAGCACCAATCTGGCTGTCAAGAACCTTCGCTACAAGAAACGGTGACATCTTAGAGAGAGGTTTGTCAGGGACCTCGGAGTGAATCACCATGAATCTGGAAAATGTTTCATCATCTTTATCTTTTACTATGACAGTTCGTTCGGGACGATGCCTCTTAGCGGCACGTCCAGAACTGGGGGTTTTGGTTTGGGGGGTTGCCATAAGAGGCGAAGTTTGTTCGGAACCTGTGGTGTGCCGCCCACCACGGAGCCCAACAAGGGAATAGATAACGCACCATAACAAAAAGGGCTTTGCTGGAAACGTTATGCTATTAGCACTGCCCAGGAACTATACCCAAGTGTGGTTCTGGACAAGGGGTCTGTCGCCACCCAAGGTTAGCCCTTGCCGCCAGAGAAGTTGAAAAAGGAAAGAAGAGAAATGAGAAGAGTGAAAAGGAGGAGAAGACAAGGGTGAAAGTAGAGAGGGGATAGTAGAAGTGGCGACTAGACTGAATCATCCTGGCCGGGCCTTACCAGGACTCCCGTCTATGAGAAGCGGGGGCCGAAGTGGTGTATTGCCTCGCCCGGGGGGCCCCGAAGGGTCCAAACCTACCCCGGGCTCGGCTCAACCACCAGGATGCCCTTTTCCCCAGACACGGGAAAGCCACGCACAGCCAGACGTGGGCGGGCGAACCCGCATGGCTCGGGGTCCGTGGAGACGCCACTCTCCAAACACCTGCTTTCACAGGTGCCCCCTGCGGGGGGGGTACTAACGCATACTCCGTCTAGCAGGTCTATGCTCGCGGCTTCGATGATTTCTCGAGTTAGTTTGTTGTTGCTTCGTCCCAGTACTGTGCAATTGCCCAGAAGGGGGGAACATCCACAATCTCTACAATGAATGCCCAGATGGCCTGAGTTAGCGTTAATGGCGTTGCAGTTATGTTCCCGGAGCCTGTCATTGAGACAGCGCCCCGTCTGCCCAACTTTTTTAGTGCGTAAGGGTGAAAGATAAGAACGAAGATTAATATATCCGAGAGTTGACAGTCAGCGCTGCGTGAGTGTTGTTTCTTTGTGTGTATCTGTTTTGATGGTGTGTTGTCTGTTGTGCGCTGCGAAGTATTAGCCAACAGATTAGTTTCATGGTGTCAAATGAATGCTTTGGAAGTGGGCTCCAGTCCTTGCCCAGCAGCACAGAACGAACGCTGGGCACAGTCAATTCCTAGACTGCCCGCTCAACCTGCAAGCCTGCTTTTCCCCTAATGTCGCGGCATTGTAAAGCGAGGGTATATTTGAATCTTGGTTTTAGAGCCATTTTCATTTGCCGATTTCACAATAGCTATTAGGGGCGAAGCTCCTTGGGGTCTAGCCTTCTCCGTCCGTCCGTCCGGACGGCGTCTGTGCTCACATAAAAAGAAAACAATGTTTGCGCAGTCGACAGGATTTGAGTGTGTGTGGGGAGACCCCAATGGATTTCTAGCCCATCGCCTTAACCACTCGGCCACGACTGCGGGACGAGTAGGGGGCTCTGAGATGTGGTAGTAACACAAGAGCTGGGGTTTGTCATGGATGAAACGTTGCATGCAGCAGCTCAACGTCAATACAGGAGGGCGCTGCGGTCAGATGCGTATATAATCGCGTTAAACTTTGCATGCATCGGCTCAACGTTTATAGACGAGAGGGCGCTGCGGTGAAATGCTCAAATGTGTATATAACTACGTTCCATACCATATATTCTCTTTCTGACATGGACCGTTGACCTAAGCGGTGGAGATGCGTTCCCACGGCTTCTAGCGGATCCAAGCTGATCTGCTAGAAGAACCACTAGCTCCGCATTTCACCGACCATAAAGCAGTAACAATGAAGTCGAAACGCAACCCGCAACTCAGCACTATGAGCAATAAAAAAAATATCAGCACCATCAGCACTACCTATGAACAATAAAATCAATATCATCAGCACCCAGCAGAGCTTCACCCCAATCAATATCATTCACCACGTGGAGATGCAGTCAATTTTTCTGAATTTCGCAACACTGAATAGCATGCCGGAAAGGGTAGAGGCCAGCGATTGCAAAAATAGTTACTTAGGGTAGCTAAAAAAAAATTGCCAGAGTACTTCTTTGAAGGGACACTAAACCTAGGCAGTTTTCTTTTCTACCTGGTTTGGACAGACATGTCTCAAAAACTTTTGTAAAAAAAAAAAATTGTTAATATTTATGCTGAGATGCGAATCTTGACTCACGGGAAAAACCGAAATTGTACCGCGGTACGATGATAGTGTTTTCACTGAACTAGTATGCGCTCAGTGGTCCAGCAAACTGAGCGCATACAAGCTGGGTACGAATGAACGGCCGATGGAACGCATTGTTCTTTCGCCCGTTTAATTAAGGCATCTTCGATTAATTTGTGAACCACTCTGCCCGATACATCAAGTACCAAGAAATTCCTCGTGAACGTTCACCCAAAATAGAGACAACTTGTGGAAAGATGGGGTGGGCTATCTTGGGGATGCCACAGCAATTTTATCAAGTTAGCGACGAACACCAGGACTATAAAACATGCTACTCGGAAAGCGTCACCACGAATCACGGGTGTGGCAAGTTTGCGTTTCACGATGCAATAAAAACGCGAGAATTCGCTACAAACTTTCTGTCACGGGAAAGGATACCGTAGATCAGTGGTTCTCAACAACTGATGTTTCGCGGACCCCTTGTGGATCGGCGGATATGATGGAGGACCCCATTCGCGGCGATGGGAAGGAAAAGTTATTGAATAATTATGATAGTGATTTAATAAATAGATGTAACTATAATAAATGAATGTAACTAAGGGCTAGTGTGAAGTGGACTTCTCTTATTGACGTATACACGAGAAAACGTACCCAAAAAATGGAAGGTTTATTCTTAATCTAAAAAAAGACAACTTTTATCGCCAGGAGGCAGGGCTTCGCGGACCACTAGGATGACTTCGCGGACCCCAAAGGGTCCGCGGACCCCCATTTGAGAACCACTGGCGTAGATTGTGGATGCAGCGGATTTGAGTTTCATATTGCAATGACCATGCAGTAGTCTGATACAAACTTGCCCGTCACGGAAACCGGTGTCGTGACGAACACTTGTCTTTTGTGTTTTTCTCTGCATATTGCAGACAAAAAACGAAGAAACGCACTACAAATGCGCTTGCAACACGTACCAATCCCACGGATCGCGCAGTTGATGAGATTCTTGTCAACGGAAATCGCATCGACCGCGCGATCCGCGTGCGGTCGATGGAGTTTTTCCACTGTTAATATTTAGCTAGAAAAATTGAATGGGCTACCCGTCGGAAGGAGGGTATCTTCACAGGATTTTATGGCATCACATCACTAACATTAGAAAGCAGAACGCTTTTGAAAATACAGTTTTTTGCATACTTTGCCTACTAAATTTACGCAGTTGCCGATCAGACTGAATTTTTTAAATTCACATGCAACGAAATTTTAAGAGCTTTTGCGGGTTCACATGCTCCCCATTGTCCGGAAATTCTAGAAAGGTCCTAGGGAAGCACGCTTACTCTGCGACGTTTCATTCTGATGCTCACCTTCTCGTAGAGGGACTTCCGGAAATCGAGGTCTTCGGAGAGGGTCTTGGCCCTGTTCCGCAGTTCGACGTCCCGCAGAATCTCCGCCTCCAGCTTTTTGCGGAGCTTCTCAAGCTCCTTCGCCATCGCGTCCCGCTCTGCCTCCGGATCCTAAAAAGTGGACCAACAAAACAAAATTAAAGGGCTTTGCATCCGTTCTGGACCGTGGATATCGCACAGACTGTGGTCACCAACCAAGACGAGTGCTGCCGTTTCCACCTGGTCAGCAACTGTACTCTTATTTAAAAGTTCCAGTTAGACTTCGCCTTTCTTGAAATGTACAATATCTATGTCTGCACAACCAGGAGTCCAGAAAACTGAAAATTTTTCTACACGTAGCTTTGTAATTTGCAAAGAAGATCTCAGAAAGAGGAATATATACATCCATGCACATACTGTCACATAGCTTACGCTAGAAAACTAAGACCATAAAAAAAGATAGCTTGGTTTAGATACTTTGTTCAAGGCAACGAGCGTGCAATAGCACTAATACACAGTTCCTACCTCAATGAGCGGCCCCACTCTTACACAGTAGAGGTGATAGTGAAGTGGGGATGTTACTACACTACTTACTGCTCTACTCCATATCGAGGGAGGGGGATGTTACCAGAGTAATTACTCCTTTCACTCCTTGAGGAGGGGTACGGTGTTACATCATTTACTTCCTCCACTCCACACTACTGCATCAAATCAACAGCTGCACTCTGCCCAGACATTTTCTACCACAACGATGCTACCGTGTGACCAATGTCAACACGAGCGACTAAGGTCCTCCCACCACAACGAAAAGTAAGCCGTCGGAAAACTCAGCAAGCCGACCACGCAGACAAACGACGGTTAACGTAAAAACAAGCGTTTGGCCGGTTTCCTTACCTTGAGTTGTGCAAGGGCCTGATTCAGACGTCCCTGGAGGTCAACGTTTTGAGATTCGAGCGATGTGACCTGTTGCTCAGCTGCGGACCACTCGCGTTTTCGTTTGGCGAGTCTGACGGGGTTAAAAAGTTGCAAGCAAATGCCCGTCAGTGAACGATGTTAGGCAAAAGGCTGCTTTGCACATTTATGTGTGAAGGCCCGTTCACACACTTGCGCTTGAGTCCGACAAGACCGGTTTTCAAGCCTTTTCCGACGGCTAACGATCGGCTGCATTGCTGCGCATCCGGTCGTAAGCCGTTTCAAGAGGCTTAATTAAAACCCGGTCTTGTCTCAGTCGGTCCAAGTCAAGCGCAAGTGTGTGAACGGGCCTTGAGTGCCAATCAACTGCGTATAACTAGACTGAAGGCTTGAAATTGTTTGCGTGACCAGACCTACTCCAACTACGAGAAGTGGCTGCTCGCAGGATTGTCGGCATTTCCTCAAACACACGGTTAAAGATGGCTCTGGATAGCGGGCATCACTTCCAAAGAGTATTAATCTGAAATCGGTCATGTTATGCGATAAAAACCGATGGATAGGTGACCACAGTACACAACCCAAAGCTAGTCCAATGAGCACTCAATCGTGTTTGTCTCAGTTTCGCTTCAGATCAATAGGGCTCATTTTAAAAAGAAAATAAATACCAAAACAACTGAAAGTTTATTATGTATACCCAATAAAATGCAATAGCAACGAGCACTTTCTTGCCGCCGACATCGTCAGTGAAGGGGCCACTTCCGGAAACACGATGAAAGCACGACGCTCAACCACACACATAAATAACCGAACGGCAGCATGACGGCATAGCCGCCAGATGCACACTTTCGGATACTTTCGGCTTAGATTGAATTGGGGTCCGCGGCTTCCCCATTTGTTACTAAATCTAGCAGCTCTAACTGGATCTAGCCCAGTTTCGTGCCCTCAGTTCAATCCAAGGCTTGGATTTGTCGGCTGTTCCCTTTGCATCGGGTAGCACTCTACATGGGGTGAGCAGAGCCCGCGCTCCGCTCTAAGCAGAATCCATTGCCTATTTTTCTTCCCCCAAGTCCTCAAGTCTATGCTCAAGATACTCGATGGCATTTCCGGCACATTTTCTCTGACTGGGCTAGCGTTTTTACAATATCCCTGACAAGTCACCGATTTTTCCTAGTAACTAAAATTTCCCCGACAATTCCCGGTCGCTAGACACCCTGAAGTTGTCCAATGAGAGCTGTAGCAAGAACCAGGGCAAGGACACCAAGGAAGATTAGGGAAATATAAGAGAGGATAAAAACGTTGGGAGGGGGCTGTTCAATCTCCCTCATATTTGTTTTTTTTTTTTATTTTGGGTAATAATTCACTACTCTAATGTTGTGCACGACAAAACTTTTTGGGTGAAATCACAATGTTAATTAGAGAGCCTAGTACGAGTACACTTACATGCTTCATTACAAACAGAACTGGAACACTACAAATGAATTCTGAAAGACCATTGAAAGATCAGCCCTCTACTGCATTTGCCACATCTGTCTTTGTTAGGGGCAGATGCAATGGCAAGGAATCAACAAACCCGTTTGTAAGCTGGTAGAGCGCAGGTGTTCGAAAGGTCAGAGCTAGAGTAAAACAAAGGTCAGAAACTTAATAAAAAAAGGACAAAGAATCATTGTTGGAACCTCCCAAAACTGGTTTCCATAGATCGAGCAACAGGTTTTGAATTTGTTTTCCTTGGTTACGAAAGAGGCTGGCAGACTCGTAGGCCGAGCAAACGATCGAAGACACCATAACCGCTTCACGGCCAGTGTAGGAATAACCTTACCCACGCAGATAACTTATCGCTAACTGTTAACAAAAGGAATGCCTTGTGATATATAGCACAAAGAGAAGTGCCGATGCGGACCTTACACAAGTCCAGATAATAGCTTCTTTTATTACTCTTCTGTATGCAGTATGCAATGTGTCATGTACAATTTGAGTTTTCCGACAAGTAGGAATTCCACCCACTTCACACGGACATTGCTCCGGAGAAGTTCATCTCAAAACTGCTAGCCAGTCTAGCCATTTCGCAATCGTGGCTGCTACGTAAGGATGGAAATAAATAAAAATGTAGAAATAAACCTAGAGCTACCACTATTATGTTCTTTGCGCGCATTGCGAAACGTAGACAAACACACAAGAAAAGAAAAAGGAACGTGCTACGCTGAAAAGAGGCGTCGCGGAAATGACACTGACACCATATCCGGTCGAACCACCGCCACCTATCAGTCAAGGTCGGCAAAACCGTCATTCAACAGCCGGCCGACTGAATCATCAATGAAACCTGCACTTTTAAGTGGAGCTGGTACGCTTCCTTTCATTCCGTTTGTAACTGACACTACCCGAGGTGTGTGGGCTACAACGGATTCTTTTCAAGGTAAAAGCTGTCAGGTCATCACAGCTTTTGTACTCGGCTCAAAAGCGGCTTCGAAGAAGCAATTACACAGAACCCGCGATGAACAAAAAAAAAAAGAAAAGGGGGAGGGGGCGGGAGGAGAACACGACAAGTTGTGACAAATCGTTTATGCCCCGCTCTTTTTTCTTTTTTTTTCTCTAGTTGCTTTAAAGTTCTATCATGTCTAGCTTTAACTAGCTAGCTTGTCATGACTGTGCCTCCAAGGCTCACGAAGCCGGTCAAAGATTTCGCGGTCACACAAACCGCCCCGCTTCGAAAAGACAGCTCGAGCGACGGACGCCTAGAAGCCAGACAACGAAAGACCGCGAGCCACAGCCGCTCGCCGAAGTCGCATGGTTTAGAAATAGCCTCAAGCAAAAGAAATATGGGCTGGCTACTTACTTCGTTTGCAGGGTCTCTGCCTCTGTCTGCCACTTCTTGGCGTCGAGCTGCAGTTTGGCCCTCTCGTTTGCGGTCAGGTTGATGGTGCGGCGTGCGTCGACAGGCTCACGCTCGTACATGATTTTAACGCTGACGACTTCCCGGGTGCGGGTCTCCTCGCTCGTCATCTGTTTGGTCAGCTTGCTGTTTTCCGACTCTAGGTGACGCACGCGGTCGATGTACGCATTCAGCCGGCCGTTGAGGTGGGCCAGCTCGTTCTTCTCCTGAATCCTCGAAACCCTGGACGCCGAGAGCGGCGAGCGCGAGCGTTCGCGGCTCCCGCCGGCGTTGGTGTCCGACGAGCGAGATGTCCGAGGCGACACCGGGTTCGCCGGGCTGTCCGCGTCGTCTTGCTGCGAAACGTACTGGGACGACGGCGCCGTCGTCGTGGTCGTCACGACTTGTTTGCGGACGCTCCGCGACGCCATTTCGGAGTTTGTGCGGACGTGCGAAAGGCCAACTGTTCCTGCAAACTTCGTCAGTTGAAGTGCTGTCCCTCGCAATGTGTTCGCGAGATGGCGGAGTGCCGCCTAGAAGGGCCACGTGACCTGTTGCGCCAATCAATGGGTTAGTTTCGTATTCCGTGTATGCTCCATTTGCTGATTGGCTCTCAATTTTTAGCAGATCATTGTAGGGGTGTGCGGACCGAATCGAATAGCGCTGCGATTCGAACGAGACATGCATCGCATCTGGTATACCAAATAACGCAGTGTCATTCGCAGCTTCAACATGCTGCATGTTAACAGAAACGGTTCTCCTGGTTCTTTTGTCTTGCGCTGTGAAAGCTACGAATGATGCAGCGCTATTCGATTTGATACTAGCGTCTTGCACCGCCACCGCCGCCGCTGACGTGGTGTATCGGTGAGGCGGATTTAAAAATGACGTACTAACCTCAGATCAGAACGCAATTATGCACGTCACTTACGGCTCGAGTTTCAATGCAGCAATGGGCCTTTTCGGCAAATATTGGGCGCCATTTATCGGCAAGCAGGAGAAACGTTTTTGGTGGCCTGCCTTGCTTCCGCTTCTGCCCGCTCTAAGCTATGTTTGCTGTCTGAACGCGGGCGCTAGACGCGCTCAGCGTTTGTTGTTCCTCTACCCAACGCGATCGACGAGTACACTTTATTTTTTTTTTTCAATTAATGTGTTTATTACGGACGACTTCGTACGTTTGTAGATTTTTTCCCAATGACTTAACAACTCGTACTCGCGCTCGGGAACAAGACAGAAACAAAAGTGTAGGCACATAGCCCGGATTTTGTTTCGGCGGGGGGGGGGGGGGGGGGGGGGGGGTCTTTCTTTTTTTGCGCACTGCAGATATGAAAACTGTAATGGAACACTACATTAACGTATTTATAGAGTGGAAACCGATGCTTACTTAAATATGAATCAATTTTTTGTAATCGATATTTATTGAAAACCTGGTAACAGCAGTGCAAGAGGACGTCGTCAATAATCTGGCTCTTGTGACAAAATAGGACACCGCGTAAAACCTTATGTCTCGGTATAAACCTAAGCTAATCAGTACTTTGTAGGGAAACCCTTTGCATCGATCACCGGTTGGCACCGACGGTGCATGGAATTCAGGAAATCGTCAATGTTGGCACAAGGGGTCGGTTGTTCAGCCGTTTTTTAACCACCAGGGGTTGAAACCCGACCCCTAGTGGCTAAAGAGGCTGCATTATGGTGCACCATATCAAAACAAAATATAATTGGCTATTCACTAGACGTCGAGCAATACTTCTGTAAAAGAAACAAAATATCATATCTTTTTGTTCACTATTGTATATGGGGAATGAGATAAGATTGACAAGTGCAACTGTATTAACATTGTCAACGAAGAGGGGAGAGAGCATAGGCTTAGACTACGGGGGGCATCGGGGCTCGTGCCCCCCCCCCCCCCTCCTGTTGACATCCTAGGGGAGGGGGGGCACAACCCCCCCTTTTTCCCCCGGGTTATGATCCTTACCGAGACGCTGTTTACGTGCCATATAACGAGCGTCTAGTAGTGGCATGTAAACAAAATAACGCACACAGTGACGGACATATGGCGATATACATACGCTCTAAATTGTACCTAAAAATAAACTACTGATAGTTGCCGGTGTAAAAACAAATTGCGCGGAAAATCATCCCCTCCCCCCCCCCCCCCCCCCCCCCCCCCGCCCCCGGGAAAGTGGAAAGTCTACGCCGCTGGGAGAGAGTGATTTTTGAATCTTAAAGTTTCAATTATTTATAAACGTAGTTTTTCTTCAGTATTTTAGATAAGAAAAGAAACAAAAGCAGTTTATAAGGTACGGAAACACGAAATTACCCGTCGACATACCCGCCACGAAGCGGTGGAAAAGGCGGCGCATACTAGAAACGTGTAGTGGGATCAGGCACCAACGAACGGCGAGCGTAGAAAGGTCCCGGATGTACGCGCCGGCGCTACAGTCGAGGATCCGACCGGTTCCGAGCGTTCCGACGGCCTTCGGCGAGCAGCTTTGGCTTGCGGTTTGGCTCTTTGGCGGTATGGCAGCGCGAAGTGGCTCCCGTTCTGAACTGATCTTTACCTCGTGTTTGCTGTCGTTTGTGGCCAACGAAGTGTCATGCCGAATTAGTGTTTTATCGCGCAGCAAATGCATTGCGAGCCGCCCTGGCTTCCCGCTTCATACAGCCCATCCAGAATATGCTTTAGTGGCGCCCTCTCGAGCCGTAGACACGGAGTGCGGCAGCCTTTGAGCGCACGCTTAGCTCAGTACCCCTGCTCTAGTTCCCGGCCACTCACGCAACCAAGGACGTCATGAAGGAGGTTATTTTTTTGCTTGTTTTTTGTACTTTTAATTTGCCTATAACTAGGGTTCCGCGTTTTCGGTTTCTATTTTTTTTTTCAAAATTCGGCGTACTTTTTTCGGTGTCTACTTTAAAATTCAATTTTCGTTTTTTTTTTTCGGCGTATATTTATGCCCACAAAATTTTATCGGCGCTTTTCAGGGAATATACAATAAACACCAACGGTCACCGGATCAGATGATTCTTGTAGCTCTGATATTTTTGATCATTCAAAAGAAATGGACACTTTATTTGGCATACGTGTGCAACTGTAAAAGAAACAAAAAGAAAACAGAAGTACAGACAAGTCAGATATAAAGCCTATTTCCAAAAAAAAAAATGGAACTTTACCGTCTGTACGTCAGGATTACCTGATATTATTATAGTACACACACATGTACATTCCCAAGTTCTCGTTGATCCTCACTCTTTCTTCTCTGTTAATATAACCCTGAGCTTCGAGAATGCCCTCACAACGCTAACACTGGACACTGGCAGGCTGAGGATATGAAGAGCTGCCTGAGCCAAAATTGGCCCATCAACCAATTGTGACCATCAAAAGAGACACGGTGCGACGTATTGAAGCACAACATAACATGCAGAGCTTGAATCAAGTCAGTCTTCTTTACAACGAGTTAAAAAACACGCTTGTATATGGGGAGTCAGGGGGCACTTCAGACTTCATGTTCGGATCGATGATGCGGCACATTCAAACCAAAACGTCTTGATGGCATCCGTGTATCCCATAAATTCGGGCACATTTCGATAGACACTGTCGTTCCATCTTTTCGCCACAGCTCTGCGGTACGACTGGAAGGTCAAAGTGAGCTTTTCCGGTTAAAACTGAATTTTAGAAAATGAATGCGACGTATTTTTATCGGTTTAAATCGAAAATGCCGAGCCTAAAAACTGACCTTTTTCGGTTGAAACCGAATTTCCGAAAATGGATTCGGCGTACTTTTATCGGTTTTTATCGGTTTAAACCGAAAACGCCGAACCCTACCTATAACTTCTACAATAAAGCGAAATTCGAGAAAAGAAAAGTTTCATTAAGTTAGTACGTTCAGTACGCTAAGGTTCGGTGCAAATTGAAAACCAGTAAAAAAGTCCTTTCAGGGCCCCTTTAACACTCTCACTGCGAAGTGCGCTGCTGCGCACTTCGCAGAGCAGGGAGCCTGCTCTGCGAATACATCTTGATCGAACGACGTTTTGTGGATGTTTGGGTGTAGTTACCGAAAACCGGACTGAGCGCTTTCTCCGCTTCGTCGATTGCAGAACGGACTGCCGTTTGCCCCTTTAGCGTGATCGCGTAGCTGCCCAACATGTTTGCTCTATTTCGACCCGTGTCCATACAGTTCTAACAGTCTACTCAAGAAATAATTGAAAACAATCTACTTACCCTACGAAGAAAGGTTATCCATGTGGCGTCTATTTCTGTTCTATGTAAAAGTGACGAGTGTATTTAATCGACAAGAACGAGCATCAGCTGGCGACGAGCAACTACTTATGACACCGGCCAAACTACAGCCAGCTTGCACAAAAAAAACATTCCTCGGACACCATAATCGTCTTCAACACGGCGACGAGGAGACTGGAAACAAGCTGATCACCAAAATTAGGCCAGGAAAAGTTCACTTGGAAAAACTTTCAGCCTTTTCTACTTTGGTGAAGAAGGAAGAGCAGCGGAGCTGTAGCTTCTGTTCTCGGCGGTGGCTTTTCCAGGCGAACGATCTGCTTTTCTTTCTCAAGGGAATATGAACTGGTCGACGCAGTGGAACTTTAGGCGATAGCGGCCTCGCGGCGGTTACGAAACCATTCGCGCTGCTGCGCACTTCGCCGCTCATTCCGTTCCCGAGTTTAGTAGGCCGTAGGGAGTTTTAGTAGACCGTGTTTCCCCCTCCTCTACGAAGAAACCGCCACTGCGCCTGCGCGCCGATGGCCTTGGCTGTAGAGTTCCGGGTAGCAGAGGGGCTTAGCGGAGGGGGAAACACGGTCCAGTAAACCCCTCCGCTACCCGGAACTCTACAGCCAAGGCCATAGGCGCGCAGGCGCAGTGGCGGTTTCTTCGACGGCGGCAACCATTTTCGTGTCGACATTTCTTTGGAGGGGTTGTAAAAAAAGGGTGGGTAAGGGTCAGAGGGATAGGGGGAGAGGGAGGGGGGGCGCTTATAGTTCCGCTTTTGTAGAGAAGGGAAGCTCGACGAAGTTTTCGCTTTTGTTATCTTTAAGCACGCTCAAACAATCTAAAAAAAGAGAGAACTGCCCTTGGTTTACCGTAATATCAGGACGTTCAATTTTGTTCACTAGCTCCCGTTTTGGGCTGTCTCTACCTATCGAGGAAGGCACTCACTCAAAACTGCCTAATGCTAGAACGACAAAACCACACACACACACATGCACATTTGTATATTGAACATTTGATGAATTCTTAAAACAGTCGGTAGTGTAGCGCGCGACAACACACGCTCGGAGTTGGTAATAACGTAATCTCGCAAGTGTACGCCGGTGGCGCTGCCGATTTTAGCCGTCCCAGTGTTGCCTGATTTGCCCACGTTGGCGCTGATGATCAACCGATGGTGGCGCTCTCTGGATGGCGACTTCGTTGCTGCGCGTC